TTTTAAGTGCACAAAATCTAACCCCGTTCCTAGTGAGAGGCGCAATCTTGGCCTCAGCCACATCCATATTGCCTTCGTCAGCGTGAATATCCTGCGACTATAATCTTCCACTTTTGAGAAGATACATTTTCTGACTTTGATGATGTCGAGTCCGACTGGTGAAAACTGTGTACGTTCTTGGAAAGAATTACTCCTGGTATATTGTTCCTCTTTCTCATCCCATGCTTTCGCCAACAGCCTATATACACATTCCCACATACATTTGAGAGGTAGAGAACTCGATCTTATTAAAGAATATACTCATGAACTTTATAGTTATGACTCCGAGTGTGTTGTCAAAGACCAATTATCTCTCGACTTGACCAATGGCTTTACTATATCGACATGGGTCCAGTTTATCCATCAAAGTGGTTCGAAATCTAATGGAGACATTATGTCCGTCGAATCATCCTTGTTCTCCTCTCCACTCTTCTCCATTTGGGTCGAGTTTCCTGAAGGCGGCATTCATTTCTCTTGCACGCAAGCTGAAAATGACACCATAAAGTTTATAAAAACCGGGGTCAAAGCTCCTGAGGGGGCATTTCATATAGCCATTGAATTTGATTCGATGGCTTTCAATTTATACTTGAATGGGGGGAAGTGTAAGACAATCCCGGAGACGAGTCCGTTCCCGAATCCCAATAACGTACGTATTATATCCATAAAGGTTCCTGTGTGAGGAATCTCAACTACAAATATAGAAAGTCCTTGTCATCGGGCGGTCCGAATGCACCAGAGATAGAAACCTCTCTTGCACTAGACAAATTTTTGACATAGAAATATACTCCGAATGTCTAGGCGAGGTGAGAAAGAAGTTTCTGCAACTTTTTGACGTCGTTTCTCACTCATTGGATGAAGGATGATATCAAGTCAATCTTTGCCAAAGCGGTGAATCGCCATGTCCCGATTTCTAGGCCTAAAGCTATACTAATAGAAGGTGAACATCACCTAGATGGCAATTCAGCCTACGGAGAAGACTATTCTCTGCCATTCGATCACGATACAGCTATCTTTACTCCACCCACACTCGTTACGCGGGATTTCGCTCACCATAATGGGGTATGGAGTACCGAGAAACACCTTCGCTTGGCAGCTGATATCCGGAATATCGGGAGGGCGGACATTGTGGGCTTTGGTATGACAACTATGTTGACGTGCGCCAACGATGGAAAGGGGCGCTTCGAAAGTGCGAGGGTAGTCCTCGAAAAGTTCCCTCATTATCTAGGTCGACAAAACAGTACCCATCCCCGCTTCTTCGGCGATGCTACTGGAAATGGATATCCTGATATCATTGCCTTCGGAGACAGTGCAGTCTTCATCAGCCTCAATAACAGAGATGGCACCTTCCAGCCAGGTGTCGAAGTCCTACGAAATCTATTTTGCGACACATATGCATGGTACCCCGAAAAGCACCCTCGGTTTGTAGTAGACGTGACAGGAAACGGGGTGGTTGATATCGCCGGATTTGGAGAGGCGGGGGTATATATTGCGTTCAATGATGGACGTGGGGGATTTCCTTCGCTCAAAATGGTCGTTAGCGCGTTTGGATATAGCGAGGCTGCGGGAAGTTGGCGCATTGAGAAGCATCCTCGCATCCTGGCCGACCTCACTGGCAAAGGACATAAAGACATCATCGGTTTTGGGGAAACTGGAGTATTCGTTTCAAAGAACAATGGTAACATGGCCTTTTCACGTGCCAAGTTGGTTCTGCCTAACTTTGGATATGCCCCGGACGAATATACAGGAGACGGGTGGAGAGTTAACAAACATCCTCGATTCGTTGTCGACCTCACCGGCAACGGAAAGGCTGATATTGTTGGGTTCGGAGATGGAGGGGTGCTTGTGGCTCTTAATAGTGGTGATGGAACATTCCAGCCAGCCGAGAAGGTTCTGGACTGGTTTGGCTTCTCCGACGATGCGGGAGGCTGGCGTGTGGAAAAGCACCCTCGCTTTGTGATAGATCTTACGGGGGATGGATGCGCTGATATTGTAGGGTTTCACGATGATGGTGTATGGGTAGCATTCAGCAATGGAGATGGTACATTCCAGACACCACAACGTGTGGTCCCCGACTTTGGATACGATATAGGCGGATGGAGAGTAGATAAACACCCAAGGATCTTAGCTGATCTAACAGGAAATGGATGTCCCGATATCATTGGATTCGGAGAGGATGGTGTATACGTTTCATTCAATGTTGGGACCCGGTCATTTGACCGAGTTAGTAGAGTGGCTCCAATATAATTGTAAATAAGGAGTCTTTTCTGTCTAACACTATACTAGTACTATCTTTGCAATACTAGAAGCCAAATTATAGGGTACTTAGTGGCAATCTGACACCATGGTATGTGAGTCGCTTCATAACCGGCCGATTATACCCTTAATAACCTTTCTCAATCTCTACCAGAGGGGATATATAGTGCATGAAATCATTTCTACGTGTGATTACATTTCATATTACGGAGTAGTTGCGGTTTGTCAGAGCCTGGCAGGTGGTAGGGCACGACTCTGACCCGACCGCATTCGTACCATACTCGTGAATAGAGATATTGCACCGGAAGTCTCCCCAATCCCTCATTAATATGTCTGTTTTGAACTCTGATGCGTCAGATCTTAC